AGAACCGAAAAACCATCAGCAATGAAAATGTATAAACTTGATTAAATATTTTTCTTTTTTTTTTGTCGATATGAATTTTTTCTGTAATAATAATAATAATAATAAAAGCTTGCTTCATTTTCTAATCATTAATCATTCAAATTGACAATAGAAGAATTCTGTATTCTCATCTCTTTTGGTTTTGTTAACGACAGTTCATTTTCCATTTATAAAAGAATACGATTAAAAATAAACCTAGTATCAAGCTGTACTTTTCCATCCTTATCTGTAGAAAACTACATGATATTCGAGTTTCATTCGATTACAAGATACAATGCGAGACTCGATATCAGATTAGTGGTTTTAAGGTTTTTACAGATTTCTTAACATTTATGATTATTCTAGAGTGCAGTTAAAATACAGGTGACGTTAATTTTAATCACCTTGAAATGTGAAAAAAACAAAGTTCATAGTCAAAATTATGTTTTTTCGCAGCATCCTGTTCAGAATTGAAAAACTAAAAACTATTACAAAGGACAATATAAATGCTTTATTCCTTATTGTCTTGAAAATGAAAAATCTTCTATGATAATTATTAAATTCATACATATCATTCTTAAAAAATATTGAAACTGTAAAAATGGTCTTTTTATTCACAGAAGCTATGCCAGTTGTTTTCTCTCATATATTGAATATCATGAACCGTTACTCATGCTTTACAAAATTCTATATCTTCTAGTATTCTCTATCAAACATCTAAGTATGGTGATAAAACAATGAGAAGTTATTGTAAGATATTTGATCAAACAGTATCTCTCTTAATCTGAATCCGACATCAAAAAATTATAAATGATTATTCTTTTTATTCGTTTTACATTGATGATGAATACTAATAGACTGATTCAAGTGGAACATGTGTTGACAATATATCTATATTGATATGTATCATAGTTTTTCAACTTTGACTTCATCAGGCGAGGCCTCGCTCAAGAACATAACAATTCTATTCAATTTCACGACTACTATTTAAGGTAATAAATTTTTTCTTCTTTCTTTATTACAGGGAATACTCTTGTAAAGAATTAGCAATATATATATGTCTGACAAGAAAACATCCCTAAGTGTTCACCCGAGTTGAAGATTGATATTGTGTGCGTTTGCTATACTAAGTGCTCTGACGTCAAATATAAAACAATTATCGGCTGAGAGCGGATCACTCAAAATAGTACTCAAAATATTCTATCACTATTTCATGGATATAGGATGTCTTTTTAGTCTTTAGACAGGCCGAGTGAGTACTCAAATATGAAATAGATACTTATCGTTAGGATTCAATATTTTTCAACGTACAAATTCATTTTATCAGGTTTCGAGACTAAAAAGGCATCCTATATCCATGAAATAGTGATAGAATATTTTGAGTACTATTTTGAGTGATCCGCTCTCAGTCGATAATTGTTTTATATTTGACATCAGAGCACTTAGTATAGCAAACGCACACAATATCAATCTTCAACTCGGATGAACACTTTGGATTGTTCTCTTGTGAGAGGAACATTTATACACATACGTATGTACGTACATTACATTACCAGTCGGCTTTGTCCATTACGTTTTTATTATTTATATAGTTGTTCTCTGTACGCGCGCGCAAGTCACTACCAACTAGAATTAATTCATAAATAAGTGAGCAAAACAATCTTTTATTTATTTATCAACTGTTCTTTGTAATTTCTTTTTTTACAATTTCGATACTGTTTTTCACACCTTCAATATCAGGATGAGTTGACGGTAATACACGTTGTTTGATGTCCAGAGCACTTTCAAAGTATGCTAGTGCTTTCGAATAGATTTTCATGTTATGATACACACCAGCGGTGTTGTTGTATGAAGTAGCCAAATGAGGATGGTTTGAAGGAAGAGTTTTTTGATCAATTTCAAGTGCTTTTTCGTAAAATAAAAGTGCTTCGGAGTACTCTCCCTTGTTGTCATACACCAAAGCGATATTGCTGTAGGAATCTGCTAATGAAGGATGATTTGAGGGAAGAGTTTTTTCTTTAATTTCAAGTGCTTTTTCGTGAGAGGAAAGTGCTTTTGAATACTCTCCCATCTTGTCATACACTAAAGCGATGTTGTTGTATGTAGTAGCCAAATCAAGATGATTTGAAGGAACAGTTTTTTCTTTAATTTCCAGTGCTTTTTCGTGTGATAAAAGTGCTTTCGTGTACTCTCCCATGCTTCTATACACTAAACCAATGTTGTTGTACGTAATAGCCAAATGAGAATGATTTGAAGGAACAGTTTTTTGATCAATTTCAAGTACTTTTTCGTAAAATAAAAGCGCTTTCGAGTAATCCCTAATTTTCTCATACAGTAAACCGATATTGTTGTATGTAGTAGCCAAATGAGGATGACTTGAAGGAAGTGTTTTTCGATCAATCTCAAGTGCTCTTTCGTAAAATGAAAGTGCTTTTGCATACTCTCTCATCTTGTCATACACTAGCCCGATGTTGTTATATGTAGTAGCTAATGAAGGATGATTTGAGGGAAGAGTTTTTTCTTTAATTTCAAGTGCTTTTTCGTGAGATGAAAGTGCTTTTGAGTACTCTCCCATCCAGTCACAGACCAAACCGATGTTGTTGTATGTAGTAGCCAAATCCAAATGATTTGAAGGAAAAGTTAGTTGTCGAATTTCTAGCACTTTTTCGTAATATGAAAGTGCATTTGAGTACTCTCCCATCTTATCATACACCAAAGCAATGTTGTTGTATGTAGTAGCCAAATCAGGATGATTTGAAGGGAGAGTTTTTCGATCAATTTCCACTGCTTTTTCGTAAAATGAAAGTGCTTTCGAGTACTCCACCATCTCGTCATAAACACTACCGATATTGTTGTATGAAGTAGCCAATGAATGATGGTCTGAAGGAAGACTTTT